TGAAAAGAAAATAAACAATTTTTGTCTCTTACTGTTTTTCTGTAAAGTTGATAATATTTGAGTAAATAATTATTGAAGACTAACATTTAACAATTTTTAGTAATTAATATTTTTTTAACCATTGCGAAAATTACAAAATGATAGAAAATTTTTCGACTCACAAGGAGAGACTATGCTCTGCTCTTCACCGATTTTGATCAAACTTGCAGCAATATTAGAGGAACCTACCAAATAAACACCTGTAATTCGTCATGCAAGATTTACTTTTAGATTATAATAATCGCGAAAAATTTTAAATCATTTGAATTCTACTCCGAACTAGATTACGAGCTTTGCGGTGCATTCCGTAACTGATTACGATTCAAAGTTATCAGAATAAGTATATGTATAATGTAGTAAATGTGTTCTTTCCCGAAATGTCAAAATGACTGCATTCAGCAGATAAAGCAGCTTTGCAACTGTTGTAAAATTTTTGAATACCAACCAGGCCCGCTAAATACAAAGTAATGATAACATTACATTAATAATATAATTTATAATTTTCTACTCAATAATGTAACATATAGTATGTGTTATATATTACAATTACATTTATGTTATTAAATGGAAAATTAATAATATTGATGTAATGTATTACTGTTTTACTTTGTATTTAGTGGGATATCTTCTTAATTTCATTTAATATGAAATTATAATTTTAAGTTTTATAACTTAGGAAAAGTAGGAGGAGATAAGAGGGAATAAGTGAAAAAGATAAAAATACAGAAAGTACGTTATACAACATTGAAATAAATGGAAAATTGCTGATTAATGTAGAAATAATTTAATGTAGTAATAATTAATGTAATAAAATATGAAATGTTTCGATATAGATGTTAGAATTAATCAAAGCTGATGAATTATTTAATTCGAATATATTATATATACACACACACACACATATATATATATATATACATATATTGTATATATACAATGTATATACACACACACACACATATATATATATATATATATATATACACTGCTCAAAAAAATTATGGCATAGAAAAATTTTCGGCAAAAATTGACGATAACTTTGCGAAAAATTATCGTAGGATGTTTTTTTTTTTTTAAATTAAAACTTAAAATCTCTACTTTAAGACTCTATGGCCAGATTTTAAGATTAATGCATCCCTACCACTGTAACTTTCAAAATATGAGAGTGTCATATTGAAAATTGCAAAATTTGACAGCATGCACGGACTTTGTAAATTTTTGGGGGGAATACTGTTTGCAACGGCATAAAGTTCGAACTTTCCCCTTTAATTTAAAAAAAACCAGCTGTGATTTTTTTTCGCAAAGTTACAGCATTTTAAAGTAGCCCTCACATTTTTTACACATATACTATCTATCGACATTACCTGCATTACCGGATATGCACTACAGCGAGATTGCATATCGAATGTCAATTCAAATATATGATCAAATAATTACATAATTAAAATATAGTCATCAGGAGTAATTACGGACTATTACGTATACATATCTAATGATTACTGTGCAGCACTTTTCTTGTATTTAAAAAAAAAGCTTTATAAAATATGCAAAAAAAACTTCGATCAAATTTGTGATGAACGACTCGGTTTGGCGTATAACAGCGATTGCATACGACGTTTTAATACCTTTTTCATATTCGCGGTAATCTTTCACGTGCAAGAATCACTTACCCAATAACAATAGATAAATGACGGAGCAACTTGAACGCGACTTTGCGATTTACCACGACATGCCACGTAATTAACTACGACGAAGTTTATATAGGATCAATATGAAAGAGTGTATCGAAACTGTTGACGCAAACTATAAATCGCAAATATTTGATATTATATAAACAACATGCCGGATATCTTATGACTAAATATTAATAAAAACAGTCTGGAAACTGACAGAAAAATGTTTGGTATTTGTGACTATAATTATATAATAAAATAATTATATAATTAAGAGCTGCATTTTTTACTGCTAATTAATGTTAATAATAATCATATTTACAATTCTACTAAATATTTATATATTATACATATGTATATATTTGGTTTAAAAATGATTATATAGTAAATTATAGTTAAATTATGATTAAATTGTAATTTTTTTTTTCAATGTACCTACTACGCAGATACTCAAAACAGTAAAATAATGGCAATAAAGGACTGGAAAGAATATGAGCAGTAAGAGTCAAGCGCAGAAGACGTCGTGCAAATAATACAATATATCTATGAAGTGTGAAACTTCTTTATTCACTAAAACGCGCTTACATGTTTCGACTCACTTTTGAGCCCTCCTCAGAGACAACACAAACTAACATAAATAAACTGTAAATAAAAAATTATCGTGGTGAGCTCTCCTACCTCAAGAATTTAAATATCAGAATTAAACCCAAAAAGAGAAAAAAAAATGAACGAAAAAAAGAAAATAATAGAAATATCGAAATAGAGAATATAAAAAACTAATTTATCAAAAACCTTAAGATTATCCTGAAAATAAGAACCCTTAATCATCCTGATCACAAATCACAAACTATATTGCAAACATTATTATAAATTATTCAAAAACCGATTCTCAATATTTTAGCCAGTCAGTATCAGACACAGTGAGTCACTTTTAATTTTAGCTAGTATTATTGAAGCTTACAAATGAAAAATTTTACATTGAAACGTTAATCAATTCCATAAAAATAAAAGTTGGAAAGTAATCAAAAATCACGCCAGAAAGACTCATTACTGCATACAATCAACACTGACTGATCAGACAACTCAAGCCTTTATTAGGTTGTCTATGATCGAAAGATAGACCTTGGGAAGCCGCTCCATATCCGTCTGCAAATTGAGTCCGTGCGTCTGTCTCCTGATGAATATCATCTTCGAAATCAATCTCTTCCTATAGTGAGGCTCCTCGTCCAGTATTGTAACGTTGTCCCAATCGAAATCATGGCTTTGTAACTGATGCTCCTTATGACATTACGAGTAGAGATGTCTCATCTGATATGGTTCTTATGCTCAATGATTCTTGACTTCATCTATCTACACGTCTGTCCCACATAACTTGCATCGCAACTCTTACACGAGGTCTTATAAACAACATTCGACTTCTTGTCACGCGGTAAAGGGTCCTTATCCACCCTAATAAATTCTCGCAATTTATAATTTATTAATACTATAGAACGATACCCTCATACGCTCGCTATTCAATCTGCTAAACTTTTCAGTAATACCACGAACGAAAGGAACAGTGAATCACGAAGGCTGCACTACTTCTATCCTATTATCATTAACACTCTTCCTATTTCTAGCCATAATAATTTTCTTCAAACAATTGTTAATATTCTCAAATATAAAATTCAATAAATAATCATTCTCTAACAATACTTTAATAATGAAATACAAATTATCCAGGTGAAATTTAGGATTTGAAAGCAAAACTACCTAATCCCGCAACTGTACCTATTTTTTGAGAAACAGGATGTTATGACCAAAAATTCAAATATCTACCCGAAAAAGTCGGCTTGTGGTACCAATTGAACTCTATCAACTCATTATCCCTAACTCACTGTAACATCCAAAAAATTCAATCTACTACCTCCATAGTGAACTGAAGCCTAGAATGCTGAGAATTAAAAATATCAAGAATGGAACTAATCGAAGACGCAGGTGCCGCTAATAATATGTCGTCAACAAATCTATAGTAAAAGAGCAACGAAAACCGAATCAAAGACAAAACTCTAACCTTCAACTTTCGCATAACTAGATCCGCGATGATGGGAGATAACGGAAAGCCCATAGGAGTCCCGTAATTTTGCCTATATATAACACTATCAAGAACAAAAAAAAAGTAGAATCTAAAACAAACTGAATCGCTTTGATGAATTCCTTCTCCGGTAAACAATAATCTCTAGAAATAAATCGTCAATGATCTTTAATACAATCCATCGCAGTCAGTGGGGACGTTAATAAAGAGACTCACAACATTCATAGTGACATTAATTGAAATTCACTCAAATGTCTACCATCAAGTTCCTTAACAAGTTTAAAACTATTTTCGATATGACTATCTGTCTTAGGAATTGTTTTTATGATAATATTATGAAGAAACACTGCTAACGAATGCAAAGGGCTATTTACCGAAGAAACTATTACGAAAAGGGCAGTTCTGCTTATGTATCTTCGGAAGAGCGTAGGCTCTTGAAAGTATCCCATCATTACTTAACAAACTTCTATATGTGAAATTAGTTATATACTTTTTTTCTTTCCAACTAACTAATAAAGCGCGTAAACCCGTTATCATCCTCCTCGTCGGATCCCTTTCAACTATCTCATAAGTATTTACATCCTAAAGCATCTCATTTATCCTGGAAATGTACACCTGCTTATCCTATGTTACATTCCCCTTATCCGCACGAATAAAGTCTTCTGCGCTTGATTCCTACTGCCCGTATCCTTTCCAGTTCTTTGATTTATAAGGAGTCTTGATTAGTTTAATTTGTATATAACGACAATAATTTATGTAAAATATGTGAATTTTTTATATAAACATGTACATATATTTATTGTATTATATAAACATGCATATTATTATACGTATTACACAGAATTTATCCCGATATAGAGCCAATTATTCCACCTTTTGGTAAATTTTACCAGTGTGATAAATCTGGTAATCCGCGCGTGTAATTGGGTAATGTTGCTACTTACCCAACAGGTAAAATTTATCAAAAGATGAAACAACCGGCCCATATAGACTGAAACTTAAATCAAAATTATATAAATATGTGAAAGTGTAAGTATAGGTACGAAAACGATGTTGAAAAAAACGATATATTCTCTATATTCTCTTATTAGACGCCGCGTGATTTATTTGCGTACGTGTTCGCTTCAGATGTGACTATAGGGCAAATTCAAACATAATGATTTAGGCCGTGCGCAGGCTGCACTGCGCGCTGCATGCGCTCGTTTCCGAGAGTAGAGGCTAGAGCCTGCAGAGCGCGGACACGCCGACACGGCAGCACTGCACCGAATGTCGTTAGTCGTGATACGCAAAGGTAAATTGTCGTTTGTTGATGGTACACGCTTAGTGATTCGAAGTTATTACTTTTCACGTTTTACGAGACATTTCAGACAAAATGTCTTATCAATTGTATAGAAACACAACGTTAGGAAACACACTGCAAGAGAGCCTTGACGAGCTGATACAGGTGAATATATATCGATGTAAAACATAGGTTAGATTTAGCATTTTAGATGGTATAGAAAGAAAAAAATAATTCGTTTCAAGTACGCGCGATAACATAATTTACGCTAGCTAAGTTTATCATTTACAGGTGCAGACTTTCAAAATGCGTTTTTTATCCAAAATTTGTAATTTTCAGAAAATGAGAAAGAAATAAAGCCACAAGGAAAACCATGTGTTTTATAGAAAATAACAATTTGCCAATCAGTAATATGTAAAATGTTAAACAAAATTGCTAAAGTATTTTTAATAATGCAAGCAAATGCATTTTGTTTGTCTCTAATTAAAGGACATAGGTAATGCACTTTAAATGTCTAAACTTTTCAACACATAAATTGATGGTGAAAAAATACTTTCAGAACATTATAGAATAGCTTAAAATATGAGTCTTTCAACACTAAACACTATACTATCTCTAATTTACAAAATGGAATTTTGGACAAAATATATTTTAGAAGTCTGCTCCTTGTATAATAAGTTTTATTTATGTTATATGATCAAAAAGGTAATAAGTAACATTTGCAATAGATTCTGATGCATGTATTCTTTATGCAACTGAAATAACATCTGTATTATATCTAATAATGAGATGATATATATTCCAGTATGGACAAATAACACCACAGCTTGCAATAAAAGTATTGTTACAATTTGACAAAGCTATTAATCAAGCTCTTGCAACGAGAGTTAAATCAAGACTTACATTTAAGGTAAATTTCTTCAGTATGTATAATTTTCTTTGCTTTTTTTTGACTTTATTGTTACATTCAGAAAAAGGCTGATTTAAATGAATTAACTTATTACAGGCTGGCAAATTGAACACATATAGATTTTGTGATAATGTATGGACTTTCATGCTAAATGATGTTGAATTCCGTGAAGTTCAGGAAGTAGCAATAGTAGATAAAGTAAAAATTGTTGCTTGCGATGGAAAAAGTAAGTATTGATGCTAAAATATAGCCTAATATATTATGTATCTTTGCCTGTACTTTAACTTTGTAAGTTAAACTTTGCTTCAAATAATTCAAATTAATTATTAAACAAACAATTATTTATAATTTTCCATCACATTAATTTTTATTACTATTCAGAATAAATTTTATAATATAAATATTTTTTTAGCATTGGATGCAGATGGAGCAGCAAAACGATAACAAATTTAATATCTTATAAATGCATGGGATGGAATCTTTCTTTATATTGTCAAAACAAACTTTTTCATGACAAATAACAAGGCAAATAAGTCAAAATAACATGTAACAACAGATATATACTTTTTTCCAGTAAACATTTAACTACTGGCAGCTATATAGCTTATAATATTAAACGTATAATTTTTGTAACTGGATAAAACCAATACTTAACTCGCATAATAACAATACTTTTACTTGCCTATTTTTTATTTACGTATACAAAAGAATTTAATATCAAAAGAATTTAATTAATATTAAAATATAAAAGATATGCCTTATTAAAATTTTCTATATAAATTTGAACACAAATTCAAAAAGGGCATTATTATTATGATTATTATTATTATTATTATTAATATATGGACAGGTGTTAAGATTATTTTATAATTAAATGATTTCATATGAAGAATGAGGGAGAAGACGAGAATGTATGATTAACTTACAATAATTTATTAATAAGCAAATACATTAAGTTTATTATAAAAAGTAATGTACCTATACTTGTTATTGTAAGTACTGTGTTTTCTCTGATATTTCTATTATGTGGTATGGAGTTCAATAAATAAAGTACAATTATATTCAGAATATATTGACCATCTAGAAAGAAGCAAGGCACAATATTAATGATTGCTAACCCTGCTGAAAATACTGTAATATATTTGCAAAGTAGCGCAAAGGACTCGGGTAATTCAGGATACAGGAAAGAATATTTTGGCACCCAATCCGATACATCAACAGTCCTGTAAATGTCTGCTGGATGACCAAAGAATAATACATCCTTGCCCATTTTTCTTTTTATTTGTATAATCTGCAGTTTTTAATTGTTTTAGAAAATTTTGTAAAACGATTTTGAAAATCTATTTAATATAGAGAATAAATATTTTTTGTTTCTACTTACTTTTGTGACATTGTCTAAAGAAGGTTTCATACAATGAGTATCGTGAGATAAACACTCGTGACTAGCTTGACAGAAATTTTGTGACTGGTTAAGCATCGTCCTTACTGGAAGGCAAGAATGCGGAGGTAAGTGAAGAGGAGCAGTTTGCGGTCCTTCAATATATTCAAAACACAGATTGCCATTTATTTCACTGTCAGTTGTACAACAATTCACAGCACCGTTTGTTTTCTGCTTAGCTGGTACTGACTCGTCATAATCCTAAAAAATAACACAAATGCAACAAAGTTGTAAGAATTGAAACTGACAATACAAATAGTAGTAGATACTAAACAATGAAATCATGAACATATGTGAATATCTCTTAAGGAAATTACCTGAACAAATGATTGCTTAACACAATAGCCAGGAGCAGAATGCTGTACTGCTTGCAGCATACAATCGTACCAATCCTCGCTGTGCTTTACAGGACAATTATTTAATTTGTATATTACATCATATTCCAAAAGACCAGTTGGCCCTAATATGGGTGAATTCTATAACGAAAAAATATTATATAATAGAGAGAGAAATATATTTTAATAAAATATTTTTCCGTCACTTACAGGTAAAATAGTTTTTACATAAACTCCAGAGCTAATATTATAAAGTGGTGCCCACAGCCATGTAGAAAAAACAAGAATTGCTGCAGCTATTGTAGCAAGAATAACATTATGCCAAATTCCTGCGCACGCAATACGTAGCTGATTTCTTAACGGCAATGCAACTAATTGTTCATTGCTTATATGTACGTAAGCTATTGGAATGGTGAAAACAATCAGAAGTCCTAAACCAAATAACTGTACATCCTCTCTCGCTGCAGCAAGAGCATGCCCTAGTTCATGAAATATACTACATATTGCTAGTGTTGTTACATAATAGCCAATTTCATTGAAAGGAATATCCACACCTGGTAACTAAAACATAAAATTAATAAAAGGTTTTAAAAACCTATATTAGGACTTACCAACTAGGATTAAGTAATTGTGTATTATAATATTATATTCTAATGTATTATTATAGTAAAATGTATAAAGCGTATAAACTAGTTCTTTATTTTTTTGTAAACTAGTTAGTTAAATATCAGTTATTTTATATCTATCAAATCTCTTATATAGTAAAGATTATTTAAAAATATCTGATCCTTAAATATCTTCATTTCTATAATCCTACCATGGGTTCTAATATAGCTCCTGAGTTAATATCGCTCGAGGATCCAGCTAGCCACATGTTAAATGTCATCTTCAAAATAATGATAACAGCTATCGGCAAGAGTATAATGCTTATAATAACACCAGCATTGAACCAAGCGATCCAGAATCTGGAGCAATCCAATCCCAATTTTATTATTTTGCGATTGAAAGCAGTTGTAAACCATTTCACTCTCAATATCTGTATCTCCAGACCAGTATTTTCTAGGAAGTAGAGGTATGGAAAATGTGAACAGGACTGAAAAACATATCACAAGTTATCCTTACTGTAATAAACTTATAATTTATATTATGAAATTGAGATTAATGGCAGAAAGAATTTTATGACATAAAAGTAGATACTAATGACAATTAATAATTTTTTGAATCCAAGGAGACTTTGCTGATGTATTAAAACGTTTTTCGTTCTAAAGGATCTTTTGTATCCAGCATGAAGCAAGAGTCAAAACGTCATAAAATAATTACATGATTTACCTTAAAAAGCGTATCAAAAAAAAATAATGAGCAATGTATCAGGGTTATCGCAATTAACACGCTCAAGGCATCCATTTTTCAGTTTATTTCAGTTTGGATCTCGGATGCCGGCCTCTCATAATTACATCGCTGCGTTTCGCTAAAATGTTATTGAAAGTCACGCACACAAACACCGATTCTCATACAAATACTCTTTCTCCAACATTCTCCTAGACGCTAATGCGTGGTCTACTGGTCTACAATGTACAAAGTAATGGATGAGACTGCAAGAGCAAGAAATTGACCAATCATAGTCCAATATAAGAAGAATAATCGACTGTGATTGGTCAATTTCTTACTCTTACAGCCCTCATCCGTTACTACTACTGCCATTGTAGCCTACGCATTACATATTCGATAACTACATTCCTAAATACTACGTTGCGGAATCTGACGCTTTTCTCACAATACTAAACAATTAGGTCCTCATCGAATATCGTTTATCGGTCATTGCAAATTCTGCCCATTTTTAGCAAACCTTATGTTAATTGGCTAATTTAGCCAAAACACATTTACAAATTGGCATCCGCAAAGGGGATTGATTAATTATCATTTCTGCGTCCTTTGAAGTTGGAGTCCAAAGAACTTCGTCCATTTTATATATAGATTTGGATTCCTCGTATACAGAAATAAGCAGCAGCCCGTCAAATTATAGAGTAGATTAAAACTGCATAAATACCAACTATATAAGTGCCAGATCAATGTTACGACTAATTACAACTTACAACCCATCAATATGATCAACATGAGATATATTAATTTTGCTACTTATGATTGCAATATGTTCTTAATCAATTACCGATGGTCTTTTATCTTTTATCATGTAATCAAAAATATTTCTGGATCTTTTTTTATTCATCTTTCTCCTCCGCACACACAATTTATTTCTGCGTCCAGGGCATCTCCTCGCAGTGCCATCACTGCAGCACAATGACGACGCATGTGAGAATATAACGCCCGTAGATTGCTGTCCTCACGCTATGTCACACATGAATACTTTCTGAGAATGTTAATAACATTTTTTAGCTTTGATAGCTCTGATGATGAGTAACCGGTCGAATAGAGCGATATCTTTAAAAAAACCAGAACTGTTTTCTGCAGAGGTTTGAAGATTTAAGCGAGTATTTAATTTTTAATACTTTTATTATTACCTACAAAATGAAATATAATTGATAAGTGTAAGTGAGAACTTTGCCAAAATGGGCAAAGTTCTTTCTTCTCAAATTTTGCATTTTTCCAACAACTCGCATAGGGAATTTGGCACATGAATGTATATGCAGCTCCAGACGCTCCAGTGCCTCCAGTGCTTCAATAATAGAGACGGCACTGAACTGAACACTGACATATCTTGATGCGTCTTTCCACGCGTTTACTAGCTGATAGCTATCACTTTCATACTGATTGTGTTAGATTGCAACTTAATATATATTTGCAATAAAATATTGTTCTGTACGCGACGCGACACTATTTTCCGTGTATGTGTATATACATATTGCACATATAATATATATATATATAACATGTCAGATCTTGTAGAGAATCAAGTTGAATTGTTGCTTGCCGGACAAGCATTAGAAAATGACATATGCAATGTACATACTCTCGCAAGTGACACAACAGGTATGTCTGATATCTTCGCACTGCAATCGCTTTTTGCAATGTTCTTGTAAGATGCCGTACCTTTTTCTTTCTTTCTTTCGAAAAGAGAAAATTTTGATGTAACTAACGTACATTGCAGGTGCAAAATCAGGTCAACTAACAGCACATATTCCCATTTGCTCGAAAACAGTAACATACATAGTCGCCGCTGTTGTCATAAATGACCAAGGCGAAGTGTTAATGATACAAGAAGCAAAAGCTTCTTGTACTGGAAAATGGTATTTACCAGCCGGTAGAGTGGAAAAGAATGAAAATCTTGTAAGTGCTGTGAAGAGAGAAGTCTTGGAAGAGACAGGTCTGGTGATAGCGCCAACAACTCTGATACTGGTAGAATGCGCAAATGGTACATGGTTTCGTTTTGTTTTTACCGGGGATATAGTCGGCGGTACTCTAAAGACACCCGATCAGGCAAATGAAGAATCGCTACAAGCATGCTGGGTACGAAACATAGATGACTTGCCATTAAGGTCTAATGATATAATATATCTCTTAGACCGGGGTAAAAGTTATGTTTCAAATAAAACTATTCCCCAACATCCTCATTTGATGTCTGTGACCAAATCACATACAAAATTATTGTTAAGATTAATAGTTACATCTAAAAAGAGAGCAACGTAAGTATTACACAACGTTTGTATTAATATCTAACAGAACTACAATTATATTGTTAAACTATATATAGTATATCTATAATGTAATTATTTTTATATTAATATTTATATAAATTTTGTTAATAGGAACAGATTACATGTGTTATCTGATACTGAACAATACAATCCACCAATTTGTGAACTTAATCCAAATCGTAGTTTACTATCTATTCTGCATAGCTTTATGACTGTGAGTATATTAGGAAAGCAT